AATTTAAAAAGATAATAAAGTCTATTATTTAAAGATCATTTTTTGAGTTGAAAACTGGATTAAAAAATACTGAGAAAATATTCGAAAAAGATAGACTATTCCGACCTCACACCCCAGCGAACAGGTTCAATGGACGATGGGGGCGGTGGCCATGGGAACTCGCGACGGGCTGTGGGACGGGCGATGGCCTCGTCTCAGTCTGCTCTTTTCTGACAGCGGGACGTGAACCTTTTGACTTAATCGGCCAAGGGACAGCATTTTTCGTTAGCAATCAATGTCATCTGGCCTCAAATAATAATGGATTGTGAGGACGAGAACAAAGCGAAGGATGGGCAAAAGGCCACGTGAAGTTCGACATTAACGTGTCTTTCCCAGGGCACAAATCGTGGTGGACAGAGCGGGGAAGAGAGTTGGGTTTCGCATCCTCGGCGGACCAGGAGGGACAGGATCTCTGCGTCCGCCGATCTCGACTTCCACCCGCATTAAAAGCTGGAATATTGCCACCCCGAGGCAGCACCGCAGAAGCCCAAAAGCTACATCCCCCTGACCCCAGTTGTTCGATCAAGTGCCAAGCACCTTGTGCCTTTTGAAAGCTTCACCTCACATCCCACTTGCAAACCGAGCAGCAGCGGCTACTTGACCTCACCCTGTCTCGAGTCGAACTGATGGAACGGTGCACACTCTGTTTCCTCCGGGTCCTCGCTTGACCTTTAGCTTCAAAAAGCATGAAAAGATACAAGATACACTTCGAGGCAAACACTGCAGCACCTCAAAAAAATAAAGAATGGCCACAGTCGCAGGCTTTACAGCTACGGTAATTGTGAGAGAAGACAGCATTAAAAGATGAATCAAGTAAGGTTTCAGAGGAACATTCATGTATCCAAAGAGAAAAAGAACTAATGGCGAGCTACATTGACCAGCTCAAGGCAGCTGTGTTTGCGCTGTGTCTGTGTAATTGCCTTGAAGTGAACTTTGCTTGTCGAAGCCGATTGAAGCCGAGAACTGCTTTCGTTCTCGAGGCCAAACATCCATGTATACCTATTCCTACCCCTCTCCCTCTTTTCGAACGTTATTGCCATCCCTCGAAGTATTCCAAACCAAAGTAACATAAACGTCTCCTCTATCCATATCCATCAGACAATAGATGTGACATCGCATTCGCCCATGTGACGCACTAAAATTGTGAAAGCGAGAGCTGAAACGAAGGGTAGACAAAAGGAGCATCTCCACCGTCCTCTTCCGTCGTATGTAGCTGCACATTCCACTATACTTTCAAGACATGCCCAGGAAGCCTCTTTCTATCTCACTTGCCCCCACTCTTCTGAGGACAGGATAAAACAAGGTAACTCCTTCGTCACAGTCTTTTGTGCCGTTTGCGTTCTGAGGTGGAGATGGCCGTGGCCGTTGGAGTGGTGGCAGCTCTAGGAGACGCCGGAGTGGTGCTGGGTGGGAAGAGGAGGTTTAAGAGCCTCTACTTGAGGCTCAGAGCGGAGATAAGGAGGCAGCTGGCGAAAGGAAGGGAAAGCAAGCAGCGATTCAGCTTCCACTACGACCCTTTTAGCTATGCACTCAACTTTGATGATGGCTGTCCCGGCTTTCTGTCTCTGTAGCTTCTGTTTTCTCTGTTGTTTTAGGAAGGGTTCGTTTGGCCTGTCCCTTTGAGGGATGTATAGGGGGAATGTTTTGCTGTGATGATGGTGGGTAGGTTGCCTACTTTTTGAAGGCCTTTGACATGGAAGTAGGAATCCATGGCGGCTCATGAATGTTGATGTTTTCACTAGTGATGAGACTTGCTTTCTGGTAGTTTTCACTTCCTATTAGTGTCTGCTTAAGAGCTTGATGCAGCAAAAACAATGATCCATGGATGATGATGCTTTCAGTGAGAAGATTTGCTTGCTATGTTTCACCTTCTTTTTTCTGTCTGCTTCTTTTTGTTGGTGAAGCCTACATCCTTAGCTGGACAGAGGAAGAGAGAAGTTTGCTGCACTTGTAGTTTCACAGGGGAATGATTAGCTTGCATGGCCTCTCTTCTGAAACATAGCTGCAACTACAAAGGGCAAATCATGGTGAGGAAGCCATGCCTGCCTCTAGAGTGCCCTTGTTGCAGCTACACAGGGTTGTGGACAAAGGAGCAACAGAGGAATGGCAGGAGGTCATTATGGCTCCCTTGATTGTGTCATGCGGCTCGCTTGATTGTGTCATGTTATGCCGTTGCATGTATCATTTGTTAGAAAATAAATTAGAAAATAAATAAATAAACAAGTTGTAGAAGAAGTTGATTGTTATTAATATTTTATTTTTATTTTTATACAGGTTAGAAGGGAGAATTTTTCTCAACAGATTAGAGGATTTTTCTCAACAGAGTAGAGAGATTTTTTTAAATAATTAGAAAAATTTCATTTACTTATCATGCTCCCGTAAGATGGTGCTTCGATCAAGGAGGTTAATCTTGGACTGATGTAATGTAAAATGTTTACGAGCTAAAGGCTTCGTAAATGAGTCGGTCATGCGGGATAACTTGATCGCGTACAAAGTGAAAGTCGATAGCAATATGTTTCATGCGGGAGTGGAATATCGGATTAGCGCACAGATAGGTAGCTCCAATATTATCATAATATATTGTAGGGGTGGAATCGATGTTTAGTTCCTGGAGTAGATTCGTGATCCAATTGAGTTCTGCAATGGTAGCGGCAATGGCACGGTATTCAGCTTTAGTTGTAGATCGGGCGATTGTCTTTTGCTTCTTAGAACTCCAACTGATTGGATGAGCACCAAGGAAGATAATATACCCTGATGTGGATGTTCTATCATTAAGATTACCTGCCCAATCAACATCGGCAAAGGCATGAAGACGAAGTGGTGAGTTTTTACGAAAAAAAAGTCCATGATTTAGGGTCCCTTTAAGATATCGTAGAAGTCTCTTGACCGCAAAACAGTGTAGAGTAGATGGTTGCTACATAAACTATGATAATTTGTTGACAGCAAATGAGATATCTGGATGCGTGAGAGCTAAGTATTGTAAAGAGCCAACAACTTGGCGGTATTGAGTGGATTCCGTAGCAGGACTTCCATCCGATAATTTGAGAGAACCACTAATAGAGATGGGGGTTGTAATTGCATTTGCATCCTGTATGTTTGTCTTTAATAACAAATCTTGAATGTACTTGCGTTGTGATAAAAGGAGACCGGAAGAGGTGAAGGTAGCTTTGACGCCCAAAAAGTAGCTCAAGGGTCCGAGATCCTTAAGCGAGAATCGAGCTGTCAGCTGTTTGATGAACGCGGATGCTGATGGGATTATTGCCTGTGACAATAATATCATCCACATATACCAGAATATACATTGTGTTTTCATGATGATGTCGTAGAAATAACGAAGTGTCAGATTTGGAGTTAAGAAAGCCGACAGAAGTAAAAAATGAGCTAAGTTCAGTGTACTAAGCTCTCGGAGCCTGACGAAGTCCATAAATGGCTTTCCGAAGTTTACAAACATGCTGTGGATACTAAGGATGAGTAAAACCGGGGGGTTGTTGCATAAAAATATCTTCGGATAGATCCCTGTAGAAAGGCATTATTAACATCCAATTGTCGTAATTACCAGCCTTTAGTGGTAGCCAGACTCAAGATAAGCCGGATTGTAGTGGGTTTAACAACAGGACTAAACGTCTCAGTGAAATCAACTCTAGGTCGTTGATGAAACCCTTTGGCGACCAAGCGTGCCTTATATCGGGCAATAGAGCCATCTGAGTTCCGCTTAATTCTAAAGACCCACTTACACCCGATGATATTTTGTGAATGATGGAAAGGAATGAGATCCCACGTTGAATTATGGAGGAGGGCATTATATTCCTCACTCATGGCAGTACGCAAATGCGGAGATTTTTGGGCTTGAGTGAAGGTGGTGGGTTCAACGTTGGGGGATGAGGAATTCATGATAGCTTGTAGGTTAAGTACCTGACGAGGTTTAAAAATATTATGCTTAGAGCGAGTGGTCATAGGATGATTGGAGACGATAGGATTGGGAGGTGATGTTGGGTGAGGATCTGTGGCACAAGCCGGGTCAAATGGAGACACGTCAGAGGCACTTGGGCGAGAAGGAGGTAAAGAGGATGATTATGTTTCGGAACATATTGCCCCATCAATTGGGGAAGAGTGGAGTGGAGTAGGAACAGAGGAAACGGGCAAGTGTTGAACCGGAGTGATATAGTGCAGATCAAGAGGGGAGGAAGTAGACGAAGTCATGGGAGGCTCGACAAAGACAACGTGAAGTGATATGAAGATTTTATGAGTGTGGAGATTATAGCAGTGGAAAGCAGTTGATACCATGTTAGAAAATAAATAGATAAACAAGTTGTAGAAGAAGTTGATTGTTATTAACATATCTCATTTCCCTCAACAGAGTAGAGAGATTTCCTCAAACAGTTAGGGAAATCTCATTACTTATCATATCATGATTGGCACCTCACTTTACTTTTTATGTGTAAACCGTCTCGAATGAGCTCACACTTCCACATTAGAGCAAAGAAACTCGACAGAAGAGCATCGAGCATCGATCACTGTCTGCAGGTCTAACGAATTCAACAACAATGGCACTACAGAAAGATGAAGAAGCAACAGAGCTGGGAAACAAGAGATGAGGAACTTGGCATTTGGGCAAGGACTCGAGAACACCATTAGAACGGAGACTTCAATCTTAATAAAAATCAAATCTTTTTCCTGTATTTTTGACAGGCTGTAATAGAAGGTGTCTAACACCGAAGACAATTCAACGAAGAATCAAAGACTCACCGGAAGACAAGCTAGTTTTGACAAGAATCGCCCTACAAGACATCTTCTTTGGATTTATGTCTGTCTTCTGACATGGAAACCACAGTCAAACTGTAAAATCCTAGCTTAATATATCGATTAGATGTGTTGTCATTTAACTAGTCTTCCCAATCCAAATGGAAACTATCTATCGAACAGATCAATCAAATCTTTCATGGGACAATTTGAACAGGAAATTAAGAAAAAGCTTGCCGGGAATTAATTAGAAATAGACTCCAAAATGAAATTTTGCTACGTGTATGCTGTAGTGTCACACAACATATACATATATTTATGTTGATGAATACCAAATGACACATAAATCAAGCTCAAGATGACGCGGAAGTCTTATCGAGGACAGCCCGCGCACATTATTGGATTCCATCGAATGGGATCATGGTCCCTTGACGACGTCAAGCTCGACGAAGGCCTCCATGCACGAGCACAAGAGTGGCGTCCTGTCCTTCTCCACCAGTTTTACGCCGGCCACATCTTCGAGGTACTTGAGGCCCGTGTGACAGGAACCCATGATCACATCGAGGAGCCCAGGCTTCTCACCGTTGATAAATGATCCCCCAGCACTCCACAGCTCTTCTCGGATGCCGTCCTCCAAGGTGATCATGTTCGCTCTGAACTCCTCTTCTGCCTTCTTCCGAGCATCTCCCTCGGACGTTCTGATACGGTACACGGGTGGCACCAACTGCATGCAGATAACATTAGTTTTGCTTCTGAGCAAAGTAAGCATCGACATTAGATTGCAGATGACATCAATCTACGAGCTCTGAGCAAGTGGATGATTCTGGGAATAGACAAGGAATTAATACCAGTACCTTCTGGTAGACATAATCTGCCCAAAACCGGACCTTGGCTCTCTGATAAGGATCCTCCGGGAGAAGGGGGGGGTTCTTCCACACATCATCGATGTACTGCAAGATGACCAGTGACTCAGCTATCGGCTCACCATCCACCACGAGAACCGGCACCTTCTTGTAGACGGGGTTGAGGCTAAGCAGCGCCTCGCTCTTGTTCTGGAGGTCCTCTTCGACGTACTCGAAAGCCACGCCCTTGAGCTTGAGGGCAGAGTTGACCATCGTGCAGTACCCACTGAAGCCATGCCCATAGAGCTTCACTTCCTTCGGTTGATCTGCCATGGATGCTGTTTCCTTTTTCCCAACTCGATCGCGCAGGGTGTGATCTCTTTATAACAAACGATGCCGTCTGGTATTGACTTTCATCAAAGAAAAGTATGCACCATCCATTTTGGATTGAATTGGTATCCGACTCAAGTCGATAACAACGAAGAAACTTGCTTCCCAAGTAGACGGGAGTAGCGAATCAGATCAATAGGCGTGAAGAAGAAGAGTTCAAATGATGGAACAGTTGCTGATTTTTTTTTCAATTTTTCGATTGAGACCTACTGTTCCTACAAAGACTCTCTACCTTCCAAGAAGAACAAGACGGCTTAGATATCAATGGAAGAGAACGACCTTGACGCAGACATTGGAGGAACCAAGCCAAAATGGAACGGCAATATTTCATATGACGACTTTGTCGTCACACGCGGCACACGATTTAGGGTTGAGAGGGTTGTGAAGTCAAGAGGACAATTTAGTCTCTGAAAAAACCTTTAAAATTAGCTCAACTTAATTTTATTTTATTTTTTATTTTTATGAATGATTTATTTAACAAATTTATTATTTATCCAGTAGAATTTATTATATTTATTTTAGATAGTTGAGGCTCAAATCCCCTTACAGAAATTTAAAGCAGCATATGAGTCACGTAAATCAAGCTGCAGATGATGCAGAAGCCTTCTGGCTAAGAACCCGAAGACGTTCTTAGAGCGCATCAGGTGGGATCATCGTCTCCTAGACGAACGCCTCCATGCAAGAGAGAGCACAAGAGCGGCGTCTTCTCCATCCACCACACGAACTGTGATGCCATTAAGAATAGATAAGTATATTATAGTGAATAACCATTTATTTGCATTAAGCGGGGATAGCTCAGTTGGGAGAGCGTCAGACTGAAGATCTGAAGGTCGTGTGTTCGATCCACGCTCACTGCATTATATTTTATTTCACTATTAAGCCCTATTACTTATATTATATTAGGTAATCATTTATTTGCATCAAGC